CTACACTTCAAAAGTGCTTTACAACCAATTATTTTAAAGTCCTGAGCTTATGAAAAGCATTGTATAAATATTTAAGAATAAAATAAAAATATTGCATACAGTAGTGCTTAAACCATAAAGCAAAAAAATTGACTGTCAAATCTATCCATAATGAAAGAAAGCAAGATGTAACTGTATTTAGTGAACTATAATCAGCATCAAGATGGATTTGTACTCCTACAGCACTAAATCTGAGGGAGCAAAATAGACTTTTTTTTTTCTCATGCATCTATATGCTAGGTCTGGGAAGTTGGTAGGACTAGACTAGTAATCCAGAAACCGAGGCTAATAATCTGGAGATATGAGTTTGGATCCCACTATGCAGATGGTGAAATTTGAATTCAACAAAAAAAAACTGGAGTCAGGAACTATTCAAGTAGCGACCATGAGGAAGTGCATCCTACAGTCAGCATTGTGGTGAAGCAGTCTGGGCAGAGTGTCCTGCTTCCTGATCAGGGAGAGATTTAAAAAAAAAAACTTGTGGGCAAATTTCATAGACGTGTCAAAATAATATGGTAATAATAGATGATTTCAACTTCCTAATCTATAACTTAAATAAATTTGACAAATTGTGAAAGGCTTGGAGAGGGTGGAATTCTTAAAGTGTCCATGAGAGCTTTTTAAGCCAGAATGTAGAAAATCCTACATGAAAGGGAGTGGCACTGGCCTGAGTTTTAGGGAATGAAGTAGTAGCTGTGATAGTGGAGAAGCATTTTGGTGCAAGTGACCTTAATTCAGAAAGATTTAAGACAATTATGGATATGGACAAAAATGGACTAGAAATGATGGTTCTGAATTGGAAGAAGGTTGATATTAATATAGAGGAGATCTAGCCAAAATGGGGAGCAGCTACTTGCAGGAAAATCCACATCCGAAATGTGGGAGACATTCAGAAGGGTAATAGTGAGAGTGCAGGGCCAACATGTTCATAAAAGGTGGTGGGATGGGACCAACGAGTTCAGAGAACCCTGGGTTTCAAGGGACACAGAGATTGGATAAGGCAAAAAGATGCTTTTGGTAGATACTGAAGGCTCAAAATAGTGGATTTTAGGGAGGAGTATCGAAACTGCAGAGAGTTGGTTCAAAAAGAAATTTAGGAGAGTGAAGAGAGAACGTGAGAAGCACTGGTGGATTACATAAAGGAAATCCAAAGGTATTTTATAAGTATATTAGGGCAAGAGAATAACTGAGGAAAGAGTAGGATTCTTTTGGGACCAAGTGACAAGCTGCATGTGGAACTGGAGACATAGCTTGTGTTTTTAAGTTGATACTTTGCATCTGCATTCATGTAGAGAAGTTTACTAGATTAGGTACACAAGGTAAGGAATACAGGGAGGGTGACTGTGATGTATTTGAATGAATTAATATGAGAGAGAAGTTAATCATGGTTTTAACAGTCTTGAATGTGGATAACTCCAGAGGCATAGAGGACTTGTATCCTAGGCTGCTGTGGGAGTCAAGGGAGGCGATATCAGGGGTCTGACATTAATTTTAAAATCCCCTTTGACCCTAGATGGGTGCCAGAGGACTGGAGGACATATAATGTGGTACCATTTATTCAAGAGGGATAGTGGGGATAAACAAAGAAACCACAGACCGTTGAGTCTAACTTCTGTGTTTGGGCAATTATTGGAAAAAATTCTAAAGGACAAAATCCTTCGAGATGGAAGGATTGCTCAAAGATACTCAGCGTGGCTTTGGAAGGGGGAGATCATGTCGAAATTTGATTGAATTTTTCAAGGAGGTGTCTGGGTATGTAAATAAGGGTGGTGCAGTTGATATAGTCTTCATGGACTCCAGTTAGGCTTTGACAAGGTCTTCCATGGCAAACTGGTTAAGAAGCTAAGAGCCCAAATTGGCAAATCTGTATCATGCCAGATTAACTGATAAATTTAAAAGACTGCATGCTGAAGTTCTGGACCACAGCTGTCTATGAACTAAAATAATTGTTGGTCAAGTCTCTTTCTTAGACACTTCATGTTTTCACCCATGATCGGTTGAGGATATGTATAGGAGGCTAGTGTTGGGAGAGAAACACTTTTTGAGTTGTAGTGCTCCAAAATTATTGATTAAAGCCCAATGGAACAGTCGAGATCCAAAGACTTAGGGATTCTAGTGTGCTGGTCATTATATTTTTGTATCAAATACTTAATTTTATTCAAATCAGCAAGTGAAATTTTAAACTCTTATTTTCCAGCTGTCTTGATGCAAAGGAAGAGGGTTCTGCTACAGCTGTACATTGATCTAGTTAGATCACATCAGTACTACTGTGAATAATTTTTGTTGCGATTACCTTGGAATATATTAGCCTTGGAAGGAGACTAACACAGAATCATAAAGTGTGTTACCATTGCTTCAGTGGTCAGATTTCGAATCAGTACAATATTTTGTATATTCTGCAATGTAGATATGGGGATGCTCCAGGAGGTTTTTAAAAGGAATTAAAAGGATAGATGAAGACAAGCTTTCATTGTTTGCAGGGAAATTTTGGTCTTGGGAGCACCATCCTACAAATCAGAGCCAGGTAATTCAGGAGAGAAGCTGGGAAGCACTTCACAAAAAGAATGGTAGAATTGTGGAACTCTCCAACAAAAGCTGTAGATGCTGGCTCAATTAATTTTAAAATTGAAAGTTTTTTGTTAATAAATAAGTGGACAATTGAATTTGGTGTACACATTGACTCAGAGCTATGTTCTGTTTCCATGTTAGGAATTAGTGAGTGTAAGGTTGTTTACAAACTGTTTCAGCCCAAGGAACTAAGTAGACATTTCTATTTGTTCTTCAATTAATTTTCCTATCATTGATACAGGTGCCTGTTGTGTCACTTTCTTTCTTCTTACAAAGTCGCTAATCTGTCTTACATAGGATTAATAAACTGTCAGTAAATTCTTTGATATGTAGCCAAATCATAATACATTACAAGTTACGGGAGAGCTCAGCAAAAATATCTAACTTGGAGATTCAACACGCATACTTGGTTAATCACATGCTATTTTAATTCTTGGTTCTGTAATGACATGCACCCTAGTTGCATATTTTCTTAAAATACTAGCAAATTCAATTTGTTCCATGTGGCATTAACAAATGGCTAAGTGTAGTTGACACATCCAAGACAATGGAACTTGACTGTAGGCTTTTTGTGGTAATGAAGACTTGTGTGCCAGACCTAGCAGAGATATGCTAATACAGCAGTTATGCTGTTTTCTCCCAAACAATGTACAAGGTTCGCATGTATGTACTATCCCCAAAAGAATACTCATTCAGTTATAGCTCAATCAGCTTCTGAATCGTGATGGAAGGAAAAGCATTACCTACTCGCCATTAAACAGCTTGCTGATGTTCAGTTCAGATTTTTCCATAACCATTCAGCTACTGGCCTCATCAACAAATTTAATTCAGAAAATGCAACTTTGCTAAATGCAGGAGGAGATGAGAGAGTAACTGTTCTCAACATCAAGGTAATATTTCCCAATGTGATACCAAGTAGTTCGAGCAAAATTCAGTGAGGATTAAGGCTAATCTTTCAAGTGGTAGGAAGTGTATCTAATGCCAAAGAAGACGACCTGAGGTTGTGCAGGGCCAATAAACCAATGATCATACCCATAGGTATTACTGTACCGGTTCCTTGGAGAAACACCCTCAGCCCAACCATCTTTGGCCGCATCATCAATAATTGTTCTTTGGTCATAAAGTAAGGAGTGTGGCTGTTTGTTAATTCTACAGCTTCCTTTGGCAGCAAACAGTGGAACCAGGAATGCAATTCATCTGATTCACAAATTGGTTAATGTAACTTTTCAGAGGTAGGAATATGTATTTCAAACTAATTATGTGCAAAAAAAAAAGAGATTTAGTGAAACTTCAGTGTTGGAGATCTTCATATCTATGGAGAATCTGGCTACTAGAAAATGGCCAGCAGTTATTACTGACTAATCCTTCATTACTGATTTCAAAGTCCTTCTTTATAATATGAACAACCACAGGTGTGTCTTGCAGTAGCAAATAATTACTGATAGAGTGAATGATGAACACTTCACTTGCCTCAGATATGGTCCTTAGTAATTTATGCTGCTAGTTTGTGAGTCTTTCATATTTGTGGAAGTTCTTCTATATCACTATTTCCTAATGGGCTAGATTAATTTGGGATATTTGGTTGGCGTGGACATATTGGACCGAAGGGTCTGTTTTCATGCTATACAGGTATGTCTGTATGAGTAAATGTAATATTGTTGAAGTTTTTTACTTGCACTGTCTTCCGATTAATATTGATTATTCTTATTACAGAATAATGCTGACCTTCCGTTACTTGGAATTGATGAGGAAATGATCAAGCCAAAGTCTGTATTTGTTAGTGCAAGCGATATTGTGAAATACTGGTGACTAACCAGAGAAAGAAGCTAAAATTATTCTCAACTGCATCCTTTGGCAAAGTTCAAAATTTATTCTTAGCAAATGTGGAATAATATTTTATGAACTCAATTTTTGAGTGTCTAATCATGCTGTATATCTGTAAGTAATGTAAATTGAATGTGGGTTACTTTTTATAATTTTTAATGTAAAAAATAACAAAATAAAAATTGTGGCTTGAAAGCATTTGTGGCACTGCATGATGTATTTGTTGCCCTTCCTGCTCACAGGTTTTCAACTTTACATGAAAGATGAGGGAAAGAGATTGTCCCCTATACATTGCTGGGATAGATTAATGAAATATTGTTTGAATAAGAGTCCAGCTGTTCCACATCTAAGCATGTCATTTTTCACACAAAGCCACCAGTTTTATTTTAAATACTTACTTTTTTTTTGAGGGAAATAACCATTTTCTACTAAACACTGATGTTCATTCGATGCTAGTTGAACTGCCAGCTGATGTTAGAATGGTGTCATACTTGTTACATTGACTCACTACACACTTTTACCAGGAGACTTGCAATGTTTAATTCCATCATGTTAAGTATTGAAGCGTTTCTTTCTAAATTTCAAGAATTTACTCTTACTAAATACAGCATTCACAGTCTTACTTTGTTTATGTTGCTTGATTCAAAATGAATAATTCAAACTAATTAGTGCAAGAAGGACTGTACTTAAAATTGCAATTGGTTAAGGTCAATTGAGAAATGTCTCCAGTCCAGAGATGTCCATTGAAGGGATAAGCTACAGACTTAACACTTGCACGTTGCAATTTGCATTCACTCTATCCAGATAAAACTGGTGTAATCTTTCACAACAGCTGTTGTGAATTTTTGAATTTTCTCTTGTATTCTCACAGTCTTTCTCCAAGGTTATTATGTCCATCTTCTGATCCTTCTATTCTATTCCCATTAAGTTTCTGGCAATGCAACTTTCCTTTAACTCGCACACTAACCAATATTGTTTGTGGTTCTGTCTCCCCTTGAATATGGTCCCCCCTCTCTCCTTTAAGTCTGCTGCCGTCTTTCATCTCTTCAAAATAAATATTGACTTTTGAATCCTTGCTAACCACCACTCCAACCTTCCTTTCCTTACAGAATGGTCACATTATCCCAATCTAATGCCTCTCCAATTGTCTAGCTGGGTGAGACTATACTCGTCTGGTTCCATTATGCAATCATAGTCAAAAGAATCACTGCAATTGCTTTTCTGTCCACTCTTGCAGCACTTGTCTCTGGTTCCCACTCCGAAAGATCTGTCTTTGGCCCATCCTATCATTGGTGATGCTGTCTGGAAACCATGTCAACTTTCCCACTTGTTTGTTGACTACATACAGCTCTACCTCACTCTCTTGACCCCTCCATTTGTCCTAAATTATCAAGCCTGCTTGACCAACACTCAACGTTGAATGAGTGGAGGCTTTCTCCAACTAAGTACTGGTAACATTGAAGTAATTGTCTTCAAGCCCTGCCACAAACCTTGTCCCTTAACATTGGAAGTTATCTGAAGCTAAATCAGACCGGTTGCAAACTTGTGACTGCAAGCTGTTCATAGGATAACTTGTGCCATTGCTACAACTGCTAGTTTCACCTTTGTAACATCACCAAATGCTTCCCCTTCTTGAGCTCATTCAGTTGCTGAAACTCTCACGCCTTTGTTATCTCAAATCTACTCCAATGCAGGCCTCACGTGTTCCACCCACTCCAAATTCAAAGTCGTATGGCACTTTTTGCTACCAGTATCTCTACTCACACTTAGTCCAGTTCACCAATTTGGAATCATGTTGGCCAGACTGATATTGAATGTGGTCTGCAAATTCTCCTCACCATTACTATATTATTTGTTGAATTGCTTTGGTCACAGTTACTTCCACTTATTCCACTTATGATTGTAGAATCATGTGCAGAGTTGCTGATCAGGCTGGCTGCTATTAAATAATCCATATTTTGTTGGAGCACACCATCTTGCAGTGTCTGCCATGATGGGTAAACTTGAGTTTGTGTAGTCAATTCCATATCTGTTAGAGAAAGAGAATTGAGAACAAGACAAAGGAAAGGTAAGAAAAAGAATAAATTTGCCATTTTAAATCTATAACAACTTACAACTCAAAAGAATTAGACCTCACTTTTTCAATTATTTTCTTGATGAGTGATTGATTGACAACAGTTAACAATTACTATACAGCCTACTTGATTACCATCCTAGATATTTCTAATCAATGTGTTCTGAAATGTTATTACAGACCTCTGGCGCAAGTGGAACTTGAAACAGGGGCTCCAGGCTCTGGCTTCAGCAATTTGGGGTGATTCACCATTCATAACATATCTCTTCCTCACCACAAGTTGCTTTTCACTTTACACATTCAGAATGGTATGTGTTGTTGAGATGCTATTATTTCAGCAAAATATGAACCGTAGTGCGCAAATTAACCTGTAGAATTATACTGATGGTTGCCTTTTACCACAAATTGATGGACTCAGCAATTATAGAGCAATTTACATCTGTACTACATATTATTGCACGTAATCAACATGCAGCCAAATTTTAGAATGCAGTGGGTGGAAGTACTACTGTCTCATTGTGTTATGAACATTAAGTTTATAAAGTTCCTTGGAAGTGTATTTGAATGTTTAGGTATCCTCAAAATGGTTCTTCTGGAGTTATACCACCCATGGTAAAAATTTCAAGCACTTAGAAACTATCTGTTGAAGTTGGGCACAAGTCCCTTGGTTTAATACGCTCACAAATTTGTGTTGGCCTGAATGCATCCTGTATAATACTGTAATTTTTATCAGTCATTCCAAAACATAATGTCAATGCATACGAGTTTGTCTTTGTCCTGTCAGTTATTTTACCTTAAGAAATTGCACAGAATTGTTAAATTAATTTTACCTTTACTCTTGTAATCTATAAAATTTGAACTTTCTTGACAACTTGGCTTTAATAGAAACATTGTGATCTCTGCAGTCAACAATCTACAATCTTGCATCTCCCAGCGGCAGCGTGATTGATCCCCCTGGACCTATGCTTTGGGGAGCGAGCCACTGCCAATCTGACATTGTGCCCAAGTTAGCAGAAAAAAAATTGTACTGTATACAATATCTCAATACAGATCAGGAATTATTATAAAATGAATAATAAAAGAAAATTAAGTTCAGCTAAAAATCAACTTTTTCTGAAAGTAGAAAGGTAACTTTTAAAAATCTTATGTCATTTGCCTTCTGACTAATACAATGAAAGTTTATTTTGACCAAAACATGCTATGATAATACATGTTCAAATATTCAGTTCCATTTATGTGCAGTCCAGAAGTTATGGGTATGAGCATTTTAGCAGCTAGATAATCCTTCCATGAAGTGTTTTAAAAAAAAGCCCCACTGCAATCAAATGAAATACTAAACTGCAATCTGCAGAAAAAATGCTTACTGATATTATGTATACATAATTCTGATGGTTACCATTACTATGCGGGTTCACTTGTTATTAGTTATTGTATTCTAATAGCATGTTCTGTCACAAAATAAGTAACATTTACATTGCCATGTACATCAGATAACAGATGAACAAAATGAACATGTTTCAAAGGTTTATGGATTATATTTTACAAACACCATCTGTTAGGAGTATCATTCAAAATCATATGAAGTTCAATGACATGTCCAAGATATTAAAGTACTACTAAGCATTTTCTTGGATGAATCATACACTTTGCACTTGGTGCTGTAAGTTAAAGAAATATTATAATTTATTTTAAATATCTGATGCAATCACAGTGGAGTTTCAGCATTGTCTGTAATAAATGGCCTCTTACAAACTTGTAATTATTTTTAAAACAATTTTTTTAAAATTACGTTTGGACACTATGATGGAAGATTTGAATTGGGATGATTTTCAGTAAGGATCAGTTACCTTCTTGTCATTTATGAATTTAAGGATAAACACATTTCCAGTGGTGCAGTGGAAACATGAAAAGAATTATATTGATTACACAAAAGTATTTGGAGGGTTTGAATTTATAGGCCATGCAAGCTTTTTCTCTCTTGCTTCTCTGTCAAATGTTTCATATATTGTATCTTTGGTTGCATTTTTGGTGGGTGCAGGAATCTCTGTGATCCCAACATAGTTCTTTTTTGCCATCCTGGAACTAGTTGTGATGGTGTATGCATTACTACGGTAACACTTCATTGATGACATGCAGAAAGTCTCCTTCATTCCACGTCTGAAGTTAGCATTGAAGATTGAATAGAGGCTGGGTTTAGATGCTGAAGAGCTGAAAGACACCAGTGCAATAGACAGAAATAGTGCTGAACACCTTGTGTAATCCATCTGATCTGGTTGCCAGATCTGAACCACATAAAATGGAAACCAAGACAACAAAAACATGCAATTTAACAGCAAAAACATCTTGATTGTTTTAACCTTCGTTCTGGGTACAATGTTCATTGTCCTCCTTACAGTCCTCCCATCTGTGCCAATTCTCCAAATGTATTTGATTACTTTTTGGTAAAACAGTATGATGAGGACAGAAGGAATCAGAAATCCCACCAACAGATGAACAGTGCCATAGGCAACACCACTCCAGGTCTGGGGTAGAAACAAATTACAGGTGCCACCTTCTGTGCCATAGAACAACAAAGTAGGGGACACAAATGCAGCATCAAAAATCCAGGAAGCAGCAATCATCTTTTTGGCTTTCTCCCGGGACACTTTGAAACTGAGAGGATACACAATAGTGTAAAATCTGTCCACGCAGATGGAGAGAAGGACATAGATCTGGACACCTGGAGTAAGGTACTGAATGTACCTAACTAGTTTACACATAACATCCCCTAACAACCACTTCCCCGTGGTAAAGTGCAGAAGGACAAAGGGAGTGCTGACCACACTGATGAGCAAATCTGCACATGCCATGGACACTACAAAGTAGTTGGTAGTTGATTGTGTCCTCCTACTTCTGTGGATTACAAGGCAAACCAGAGAGTTCCCAAACAAAGCAATAAGCCAGATCACTCCAAAAATAAAGCTGACCGTGATGATTTCCCCTGTTGTAATTTCCTGGTATGTGGAATCATTTATTTTTGTCTGGTCCTGACCATTGAGTTCAAGATGCGTTCTAGTGCCTATTGATAGTGTGGCTAATATTTCACTGGAATTAGCTGAAGTTTTGGTTGCTGGAATTACAACGGAGTATGTCTTATTTAGAATTTCTTCGGCTAACACCATATTCATGTTTTGTACAAGACAATTCCTGGGGACAAGAAGAAGAAATTATTGTTTTGTTATTCTTGAGTAAGTAAAAGTATCTTTTGACATCAAAATATATTTTATAATATATTTCTAAAAACAATAGTTTGAATTTAATTAATAACTAACTGTAGGTTAAAATAATGAAAACAATTATTAATTTTCCACCAGATCATTAATGCCGTATAGAAGCTTCAATCAATAAACTGATTTAGTGTTGGACAGAATTTGTAAACAAATATGATTATTGAAATTTTAAATGTAAACCTCACATTAACACTAAGTATTCTCAAGACAACAAAGCTTCCTGTATTCTAAATCAACAATATCAATAGATTGTAACACTGATAACATCTTATCCTTAAGTACCAATATTTGTAGAAAGTTAGCATTCTTGCCTCTACGTCTTGGAGCTCTGTGTCCAAGACATAGTTCAAGGTTTCAGCACAAAAATCAAGGTTGAAATTGCAGCAGAATACTGAGGGAAGAATAAACTGTCAGACTTGTATACTTTCAGACGAGATGTTAAGACCCCAACTACCTGTTAGCACCAATGGAAAAGATCCTGCGGCACGAGTTCGAAACACAGCAGGGGAGTTGTTCAGCCATCCTGACCAACATTTATCCCTCAGAATTAACACAACAAAATATGAATAATCTAGTCATTATTACATTGTGATTTGTAGGAGTTTCCTCTGCATAAATTGGCTGCTGTGTTTCCTACATCATAATAGTGAAAAAAATATTCATTGTAAAATACTTTTGGACATTCTATATTCACAACAACGCTATATAAATGCAAGTCTTTCTTTTTGTTGAAAGAGATTAAAGTATTTGTGATGTGGTGGTTTACCTTGATTCGATCTTTCCTTTGTTTGATTTTAAATGCAAGTTTAAGAGGAATACAGTAACAGGGAAAAATACTTGCAGCATTTTTTTTCCTTATCACCTTCTCAAGGCAACTAACGATGGGCCATAAATGCTGGCCCAGCCAGCGATGCCCACGTCCCAATAAAAAAAAGTTAGAATTTGTATTAGCTGAATGTTGTGGACTAATAGTCATTAGAAACTGGTAACTTTCAGAAGATCGTTTTATTGCGTTACTCTTGGCTGTATTGACAATGCAGGTATGACAACTTATTAGGCCAACAAGTTACTCCAGCTCGAAATCAAATATTTCGTGAAATTCCACGCACAAATCTGTCACCAATACCTTGCACATGGATGAGACGTTGATGAACCTATATTACAGATACTTCCTACACTGCTTCTCTTCATGAAAGGCATCTCTCTGTATATCCCGATGCCCCCTTACTGGCATTCAGAGAGTTGTTGCATTATAGTCTCATTATTCGAGCTAATGACTAATATCAAAAATATGAAGAGTGCGATTTGCAGCGTTTTTAAATGTTCTGTTGGCATTGAAATCTTTTTAAAACGTGGCTTTAAGTTGGCTTGTAATTAAGAGCGACATCTTTATTATTAGGCTGCTTCGTAGAGATGGTTTTATATTTCGTGCCTTTGTTCAGTGTTAGTGACTGTACATGCAAATCACATTACAGATTTTGCATTTATGCCAAACCTAAGCAGCATCGTCATAAAATACGCAGTCCAACTGACGTATCAGGCGTCATAGCAATATAAATATATTCAGGGGTTTAAAAGAAGAGGTAACTATCACTATTATACTCATTATGCACTCGGTATAACTACATAATTCAATTACTATATGTTGACCTGCAGGAGGAAATCAGAACCAAATTACAATAAGTGACTCACAGTCTCCACATCAGCAAAGATCCATATCGACACATGTTCACATGCGACTGCTGAAATGTTTTCCCAACGTGTTTTAATACTTAGAAGATGGCGTTAAAATGTTGGAACAATTCAACAGGCAAAATGCCACCCCATCGGAGTGGAATTTAACTCAGAAATCAGGCAGTCTCCTGCAGCAGGAATTGGAGTCTGATCCGAAATCAGGCTACATCAGTAAAGAAGTGATAGTATAACTGGAGCCTTTTTACGAAGGTTGCAATTCTCCTTTGTCTAACGAATGTTTTGTTTCACATTGTGGAACTGACAACACAACGTTAGAACGCAGACACCAGTTTTGGAACTCATGAATCTCAAACATTACTGTAGCACTCATTCCTGTACTGCGTCCTCACTTGGTCTCATTCTCCAAATTTTCAGTGTTTCATATTTATTTCCTGTGTTGGCATGCAGACTGACACTGACCACACTATTTGAGATCAAACCTACGCCGTCATACTTTACTCCTTATCAATCACTCTAATCGGGATTTCGATCGGACACAATTAATCCCTAATCCTCTGTTATGGAAGCGTTGCAACTTAACACCTTGGTGGTAATCATTACCTACATTGATGCGATCCTTTCTCCAGTCATTATTTTAACGCAGTTTTATATATATTTTTAACCAACTTGTTCGGACGAGGTTGAACACAACTCTGAAACAGATGGGACTTAAACCAAGGTCTTTTGGCCCAGAGCCCAAGACCGTTGGTCAAAGGCTAGTACCAGAGTCAAACTTCACTCAGTCTAATATTTGTTTACGTGGTGAAATATTACAAGTAAGATCATCTTTCTAACAACCTGTCCATATAGTGAGGCATCCCTGGAATAGTTGGGAGTAGAACCCGGGACTCCTACCCCAAGCTAGGGACACTACAATTGTATCTCGAGCCCCCTACCGCGAGGATTCGGCTGGTGAGCGTAGAGATTACACCAGCAATGTTTGACGTAAATGGATGAATCTGAATTACATGAAATAATTGAATCGATTATGAGCAAGAAATTTGGACATAACCTGAGTATCAACAGTCAATGTGATTTGGGAAGGTCTAGATCCCGCAAGATCAACCTCACTGACTCTGATTACTTAGGAACGGCAACATATTTTTGATAAATTTCCGCACCGAAAAAAATACTAATTAGTTTCAAGATATTTTCTAATCAACTTGTTTGGGAGGAATAGATAATAAGTTGGGGGGCAGAGTGAAACAGAGGGATCGTGCTCGGAAAGCACTGAATGGTCGCTCCAGCATTCATTGTAGGAGCAATTCTCGTTTCCAACGTGGGCTAGTATCTCACATAAAAAACTAAATGCAAAATGGTCATCTCGCAAGAAACCAAAGGACATGGGGCAGGAGAATCGGGGGAGGCGTATTCAAAACAGATTAAACAGAATACCTGAGTGGCACTAACGCTGCAATTTCGCCTGCACCAATATAAAGTACGGCACGTAGGAAGAAAAACCGGGCGACACAATTATTTCTCGAGTGATGTTAAAATACCTACAGGTTAATGCGCAAAAAAAACTTGGACTTCTATTGGATTCCAGGATCAACTTTATCAACAAATTCACAGCAACACATCAACAAAGAATGGTGAGGTACATAGCAAACCAGTAGGATATAAGTCATGTTGAAACCGCTCAGGCGGCAGCTTGAGAACTGTGTCCGATTCTGGTTGCCAAGATACTGGGTGGGCAATTAATCACAGGAACTAATGCAAAGAAGAGGCAACGGCTGTTCCCTAGTGACAGTGGTTTCAGTGATAAGGACAGATTTGAGAAATTTGAGCTTTTCAGACCGCAAAAATGTTTGAAAGGTGATTTCATAGATAAGGTTTTGAGCTATCACATAATGGTACAGAAAATATTGTTCCAGAATTTTACTTCATGTTAAACCTTGGGGTAGGATAAATATCATAGGTTAAAACTAGTAACTCTAGGACTCATAGCACTCAACTCAGTGATGAACAATTGGAGTTGGATATTGCACCGAGCAGTGGAGGGGAAAACCCTGACATGTAACATCAATATTCAATATAGAATTCACTAATCTGGGTAAACGTAATATATATTTCCGTGAGGCTTCCACGCCCTTAATCCAAGCAAACCACAGTGAGATGTTGATACTAGCAGGACAGTAGTTACGTAGATACGCCAATGATCTCGTAATCAGGCAATTTGTGGTTGCTATACTGTTAGTTCATTTAATTTTATTTTGCGTTATTAGAAACAATATGCAGCAGGAGAGAAGTACGTCGCACATGGAGCAGAATGCTAGGTTGGCACCGTTATTATTGTTCAGAGTAAATCATTAGCAAGCAGATTAATCAATCCAATGTAACGCGATCATATTTGCACATTCACTAACTATATGGCTCTCCAACAACATACTGCTTGAGAAAGGTAGCGCGAAGTTCAGGGGTGCGATTCCATTTCATTTTATGATTTGCCTCACCTGGTAACTTGACAAGCCCCGAATGTGCCAATTTAACTTTGGACAATATGGACAGTCAGTTGTTTTGATTCTGGCCACTGCTTTGTGCATCTGATGAAACAGATTCATTGCAAACTCATCGACAAAGCTCTCTGCCTTTTCTCTACTGTTTCGGCCTCTGATGGATGAAGGCTAGAAAAAGAAAATCATATCAGTACTGAATATCAGAGTACAGAAATCCCCTTTAGCCTGGCCAGTCTTGCCACTGGAAACCACTTTCATCACCTAGAATCCTCTATGTAGTGCAAACAAACCCAGGAGAATCTTAACATCGGGTGCAGGACTAGGTAGGAAAACGATAGCTTGCAAGTGCATTTTCTTATGCCAGTTGGAATTATAACTCTGAGGTCACGTTCTTCCCGTGAGAAAGAACAACACTGATCGAGAAACTGCGCACAGGATTTGGGAAATCAAACCCAACCCTGTAACCTCCGATCTGCAGTGACTGTTAACCGTTACCAGCCTTTCTGGTAATATTTCACCCGAACTGACTGCTACTCTTCAGACATCTCATGGGCATAAAGACCCCTTCGTGCCTGAAGAATTGCCTTTTGTGAATTCTGTGCACGGTGAAATAATCTCATCAAACAGAAATCCATCCACATCTCATCCACAATTTTAAAAGAATGCAAAACCACTCATTGATTTTGTCAAAATATTTTTTCTGCAAAACCGACCGACCTCTTTGCTGCATATGGATTTCTAGCACTCTTGTAAAATAAGTCCAATTGTAGAAATATGCCGGGGTTCAGTTGTTTGTACGAACCCTCTCTTCCATCCGCCAGCGAGCGTGGTTGAGTAATTGCTCCGGCGTGCATTGGGCATTCAGCTCAGACACAACTGCTTCAGAGGTTACCGGATACTGCTGGGTCTATTTACCCGGGACAGAAACAAAATGTCGGGGTATTCTGGTCAAAGTAGCGAGTTTTTTTTCCCTCTGGCGAAGAAACGGTCACGTGGACAGATTGTCATGTGATCTGCGAAATTCTTGAAGCCCATTTTCTAAATGTTACAGTAATACGGTTTACTCATTCAAAAAAAAAACAGACACGGCCAGGATTCCTCTCGACAAAACCTGTCCATCTTCTGCATGACAATATTTCAGCTGTACATCGAAATTATGCTAGTATTTCTCCTGATTATTGGAAATGGTAAAATTCCCAAATACGTAGGACGTTCAGGACCACGGAGAGCTCATTTCATTTGGCGCTGTCCTCCCCCCAATCGTTCACTTTTTTCTTTTTTTATTCATGAAACATCTCAAAGCAATAAAGTTAGCCAACTGAATCCAGATGAAAAAAATACAGATTAGTTCTGCTCATGTAGATCCTTGGGAAATTACAAACTGCAGTACAGAACAAAGAACCAAATCTCTTCATAGCAATGTGAGACTTTGGCTTAGTCCTAGCATCTTCACCTCTGAGCCAGGGATTAAAGGACTCAAGCCTCATCCTAGAAAGTGGATCACCCCTAGTCAATCTAGCGCAATTCTCTCCATCTCCATTACTGTCTGCCCGCTTACGTGATGGTCAAAATGACCCATGACTCTACTCAGAACAAGAGTATGGGGCTTTCTCCCATGTTCTGGCTAATGGCGGTCTTCAGCCAATATTCCGAACTGTTTGTACGAATACATGGCGCTGAATTGTCCTGTCGTTTTCGCTACAGCAATGATGACACTTTCCCCAAATTCAGTTACCTTTTAAATCAACGTTTGTTTCGCATCATTGTGGGCAATATTTTTGTTACTTTCTGAACGTATTTAAGTACTTTTTAAAAAAACATATTTAAGGTGCAGCCCACAGCTCCTGGATTACAGAACATGCAGAAATGTTGAGATCAAACAGAACTAATTTGTATTTTTCTACTGTTTCATCGTCAAAGTTTTAAAACTGACGGTATAAATATGTTATGTTTTTTGACAGATGCAATACAGTAAAATCTCACTTTGGGGCATCCCAAGCTGCCGAAAAGCGTGATGTACACCCACGCTTTTTATTTCAAGCTAAGCGAACTTTAGAACTCCAATCAATCTAATTACTGTTTGTTACTTTGAGTTCTCTGAAATAGATAAGAACATTAATTGATGTTGTCTGGTCAAAATTACCAGTGGAATGTAACGTTTTTATTTGAACTGTAAAATGTGGTAATTCATCAAATAGGACATCCATCGTTTGCAGCCTCCTAAAAGATTTCCAATAAAACATAACATAAGCGATACCCAAGTAAAGCAGCAGGACTAAATTATATTTGCGAACGTAGCATACAACTATGGCATATTGTACACACTTGATATTTGTTCGTGCATCATTCGATGAACGGTGTCCACAGAATGCCCAATGGGCTTATAAGAATATATTGTTTTCCCACAGTACATTCATTTAGTTTCAGTTTTCTTAACATGAGAGGATTTTAAGTCAATTTCGCATGAAGAATATTTGTAAAGTTGCATTAATTTGAGCGTTCGTTCCCTTTACCGGATGACTGGCTCCCTAGTTACAATGACGTGTTTGTTGCTATGGCACCATCTCCAAGCTGATGGTCACCATAGGACTCCAGTCTGTATTGGGGATGACAAGAGCGGTGCAGTACAGGCAAAGGAACGGCCCTCGCACTTATTTCTGCTTTTAAAATTAAATTATTTCACTCCAGCCTTTTCCCAAATTCAGTTACCTCTTAAATCATTGTTTGTTTTGCATCTTTGTAGGCGATATTTTTGTGATTTCCTCAACTTATTTAAGTATTTTTTTTACATATTTAAGGTTTAGCCCTCAGCTCCTGAATTACAGAACATGCAGAAATGTTGAGATAAAACAGCAATAATTTATTTTTCCATTGTTTCATTGTCAAATTTTAAAACTAATGGTTTAAATATGTTATGTTTGATAGGTGCAATACAACAAAATCTCACTATTAGTTTTCTATGTTTATTTGTGTAAAATATGCAGTTTATTTCATTTGAGTTTCTGTTTTTTGTGGAATTTCACTAGAATTTGAATTCCATACACATGGCTTAAATATGAAAATTAATTTCAGCCTCAGAGCAATTAAACTTTTTAGCTTCTAGAAGCCAATTTTACACCAACCTTAAAAGACTTATTCAGGTCAAAATAAACTGCAATTATAATGCTACCAATGGTCATAATTGGATACTTCCTCTCAACATCCTTTCCCTGGCTTCCTGTTCTGGCAAACATCATGCCCCTAAACATTCACCTGCCAACTGATGAAAAATCACAAGCTGGTTAAAACCGTCTCTGCTGTACTTCACTTACCACCATTATCCCCTCCATCTTGGTTCATATGGAAGAACCCTCTTGAGCAAAATTGACCAACAGACTTCTCTTGGATCAAGGAGCAGGTAACACTGGAAGCCACTAACAAGTTCATTATGACAAACCCCATCTGTTGAATAGCATGTTTTATATTACTTTGGCAAGAATGGTTCTTGCTTAACAGGTTCAGGATAGGTTTAGTCTCCTGTGGAGCCAGTCCCCACCATTACAGCTTTAGTGTGTAGCCTCTGTGCACTTGAGAAGAGAGACAAACAATACTGCACATTACTGAGGGGTGATTCTTCTACAGAATAAGTAATGAACTAATCACCTTTAATTCATTAAATAAGGAAGCTATTCATTAATTAATAAATAAACTACCCATTAATAACTTTACTCAGGTAGCTCTTTATGAATAGGAAAGTAAAAACAGCAGCCATTCTTTTCTTATAACATTATACAGAATTCCATCAGAAATTTTCGAGGTGTCCATATAGTTTACTGGTCAACCTAACCATTTTTAGAATATGGTTGACTACAGGTTGGACTTAACCACACTTGTAAATTTGAAGTGACATCAGATTACTTTCTGAATGTGGTGTCACATCAGGTGTTGTTAATGATATGAGTATCAAGGTGAGACAGTAAACCTGCAGCCTGAAAGAACTTGATCATTGCAAGACTGAAATATTTTATTTTTCAGTCAAATTCATTTGTGTTATTCTGTTATTATCATAAAACATAATGTGTTCTTTAAGATATTCTCTTTACCTAATTTTAGTACTCAGTAAGCTTAAATATTTCCTGAGTTTACTTCTATTAATACTAAACATTTGTTTTAAAGAGAAGGATACACCATCTATTTATAATTTGACAAAAAACTTCATTAATAGTCATAGGTGTGGATGTATGTTTGGAATATGGGACAACATTCTGAATTTCTGAAGAAGGGTCCTGACCCAAAACATCAACTTTCCCGCTCCTCTGATGCTGCCTGACCTGCTGTATTCCTCCAGCTCCGTACTGTGTTGTATCTGACTCCAGCATCTGCAGTTCTATCTACAGAAATTTGTCTTCATTCAACTTTGTACTTTCTTATCCTGTAAAACAAAATGCAACAATTGAGATTTATCATACTCTGCAAAAATATTACCATTTTCTTGACATTTCACTACTAGACTATGTGAATTTTCCATCCATTTTCAAAGAACTCCTCCACCTGTACAATCTCTGCTATGGATTTTTTTGCTGAATTCTGATGAATTCTCATTGATTTGTACTAGATTTGGCATCTTTTCAAAGAATTCTGCAATATATGTCAAACACGATGTCCTTCCCATAAAGTTACATTGGCTTTCTGTTTCAGTTTCAGATTTTATCAGGTGATTCAGCATCCATTCTTGTAATGTCCTCCAGTTTTTTACTTACAATAAATGTCAGGTTGATTTGACTGCAGTTGCCTGAGCTATTTTCAAAACTAAATTTGCAGTAAATAGTCTTTTCTCCAACTCTGACACATGTGGGTTCAATTTCTATGAATCCTTACGTATGCCATTCCTAGGTCCGGTTCCATTTCTGTGATCTCTTGGTTTGTTGTCCACTAATATTGACACATGAAGACCCAAATGTAAGTTTGCTTTGATTGAAATTCGCTGCTCAGAGTTATCACTTTCACACTAAGCCAGTAGACAAGGACAGATACAGAGAAATGTGGTCTATTAAAAGTTGCATAGACTGGGGAGCCTGACAGCCCATTATACAGTCCAGGGGCTCTGGCTGCAGCATGAATATCAGAGGATTAAAGGATTACAGAGTGCAATATAAGACACAGATAGAATATCAGGGGATAACATACAGGACTATCAGTTCTATGTGGATTATAAGTGAGTTACTTTATTGTTGTTGGTTATAATGGGGAATCTGAATTGTAGCACTGGTAATATAAGTTGTCAGCACAATGTCAGTTACCATTAGTTACTGGTTCTCCCTACTTCTGATTTCATCTATGCAATTCACTACCCCATCTAGGGTTTCTCCTCTTTATTATTCCCTTTCCCTTCTTCACTTGTTGATAGGTGGACTCTGCTTTCTCAAAACTTATCATTCAATAACTCAAATGTAGGGGATCCAACTGTTTTCATCTATGTGCAATATTATTTGCATAATTATGTGCTATGTGGTCATATGCTATCTGGTTGAATTTTCTTTTTGTTCAGAGTTTAAGGGGCCCATTGTCCAAGCCAGTATTTAATACACATACCTAAATGCCCAGAGGGCAGCTAAGAGTCAACCACATTGCTGTGGGTCTGGAATCACATGTAGGCCAGACCAGGTATGAGTGGCAGTATCCTTCCCTTAAGGACATCAGTGAACCAGATGGGTTTTCCCAACAATTGGCAAAGGATTCATGGTCATCATCAGACTCTTAATTCAAGAGTATTATTGAATTCAAATTCCACCCGTGTCCCCAGGATGTTACCTGGATCTCTGGATTAACAGTCCAGTGATAATACCACTAGGCCATTGCCTCCCCTGTTTATGAAGGCAATGTGATCAAGCTTCCAAGACTAGCTCCAAC